GTCCCTACTCCAATATTTTTTTTCCATTTCAGTCTTCCCTAAATAGCCCTATTTTCCCAATCAAGAAAAATCTTACTCATTAGACTCTTACCCATTTTGTGGTTCCTCTGCACTTGCAAGGCTTCACCCAGGGTGCAGTCTCATCATCCTCATCACTTGCGTAGCACACCCAGCAGTAACGTTTGCTGTGGGGGGAAAGGGAAGATAAGCTTTAGCGACATTAAGAAAATGTTTCTTTGTTATCATCAGCCATTTTCTGTTTATGGGTTATCATTCATTAACCGAATGCTGTCAGGAACATGTAATATTCACTATAGTTTTTTTAGTTAAATGTGTTTATAGACACACAAGTCACCAGCCATTATGAAGTCATTTAGTAGACCTCATGACCTCACCTATCAGCTTTCTTAGTGTTTTCAGGGTGTTTTATTCTTTTCTTTTTATGCTGCTAAAATCAATGCTGTCTATTACCATTAAAGACATTATAATCATTCTATTGTTACAAAAAATATTAACAACATAAAACAACAAATAAGAATATTTCTAAAAATCATGGAAAACAGTAGGCAGATGAAGTAGGCAGTATACATGATTGACTCCTTGGTGACTAAACCCTTGTGGAGCTGTCTATATGTAAGACAAGTACTGTACTAAACTCAGAGTGGAAGGCATATACATAAATTCCATCCCTAGCAGCACTGGGTTAACAGAAAGTGTACTTATAATTTGGGGGAGTCTATTGATAATTTCTTACTTGTTTATTTGGAATCTAATAATTTCTTAATTACATGAATTCTACACATAAATTCTTACATACTCAATCTAACAAAAAATTTCTATTCACTTGGTGTCTCATTTCAATCTATTTATGAATCATTAATTATGAATTATACATTCATTCTCATTTGCTTTATCCCCTAACTGACCTTACTTTAGTATTCCAATAACTAAAGGTAAATTATTCACCATTTCATACTTTCCTTCCATGAAAAGGTATAATTTACATAATTAAATGTGCAAACATTCCAAATATTCATTTATAAAAATTAATATATATTTATGCTTTAATTGACTGACTAGCAGAGTAAAAGTGAAAGAAAGGAAAAGGTAGAAAAAAAAAGATATGAAATAATTAGGATTGGTTGAAAGAATTAATGAAAGAAAAAAAGAAAAAAGAAAGCAATACAGAAATAAAAAAAGAAAAAAAAAAGAAGGGAGGAAAAAATAAAGCAATATATAAGAATACCAAAAATAGAGACAACATAAACAAGAAAACATAAATAAATAAAGAAAGATAAACTTTATAACACAAAAAATATATATGAGAAATGCAGAAGAATCCATGTCATTATACACATTACTTCGAAATTCTAAAACTGTATATGATCATCAATCTAGATTTCACCTAGATTTCAAGTACTTACAATATAATGAAATGAATGATTAACACATATCTACAGAGGTCAAGTTTTTTTTATAAAATAATTTAACATTAAATTACCAGGCAGGTCTACAAGCTAAATTTGCATGAAATTATTTATTAGATTTTTGCTAAACTTTGCAGGAGCCCCAATAAATACAAGGCAGCACCAGTCAGTACTAGGCCAGCTACAGTATTATAGATGTCTTTGAATAATTTATAGATATTTTAAATATCCGACCACACCCTTATCCATCACTTGTACAGAATAAATTGTATGGCAATGAGTGTCTTTTTGGTTCCCTTAAAAGGCAGTGTTGTTTGTTTTTCTCATCCTCATCTGGTCTTATTCAGTACAATTACTAAGGAGATAAAATATGTAGCTTCAAATTGGCAACTTTCAAAATTTGATTTGACAAATAACATATATAGCTTTTGAAATATATTCCTATAGTCTAGCAATTGCAGGCAGATTTAGATAAGAGTAAAGGAAGTATAAATCTATTCCAATGTACATTTATAGTATTATTATTCCTTTTCTATTCTCCACCATCACAATATTCTTCACATTACATAATCAAATTTCATAATGGTATTTCTTGCTGTGTAAGCAAAATCAAGAGTATCTATACAAATATGTTGAGAAGAAAAAAATATTTTTTTTATTTTTCCTTATTGCAAATAATACAAAGAAAAATAATAAAGAAATTTGGAATGTTGCCTATTCTAAATATGTGCATACACATGTAAGTATAATTTAAATCTGTGTATAAATATTCCTCCTATCTCGAAAAGGACACAAACAAATAATCAAATAAAGGGGAAATAAAATAGAAAAAAGACACATTGTTTACACCGACGTTGTGACCTTCTTCGAGTTTGACCCCTTATTTCACCCCTTTCTCCCTAATCTATCACCTCTACTCACTTTTCCTCGTCTTCGACTGGATTGGAAACAGGGTGTGGTTCATCTGCCATGTCGAAAAACGGTGTCAAGATGCATCTAATGTGTCAAAGGAAAATTTTCTCCGGTGTCATTTAGGTTCTCGAGACGAGGGTTTATTTTGACTCGAGGGTTACGGGCTCACACGAGATTTTTAGGGATGAAATTTGTGTAACTTTTTTTTATACTTCATTGGTTTATTTCGCCTTTAATATGCATTTGGTTTGAAAGGACCATATATATACATATATGTCTTTTAGATCTTATGTGGTGGTTCTAAAATATCTTCGATAAAAATGCATTGCTCTCGTTGCTCTAGCGTTTCCAGGGACAAGGCACTGATGGTGTAGTAATAATAAGGCATAGTACTTACTATTTTCATGCAGTAATGTTTGTTTTAGAATATTCATAGGTTTTCTAATATACTAAACTAGTTGTAACTTTAATACTCGTCTCCTGAATTGCTAAACTTCCGATTCAGAATATATCGATATATATAGAATTTATACAGCGTGTATGTATGTATGTATGTATGTATGTATGTATGTATGTATGTATGTATGTATGTATGTATGTATGTATGTACATGCAAACATATATATATATACATATATATACATATATGTATGTGTGTGTGTGTGTGTGTGTGTGTGTGTGTGTGTGTGTGTGTGTGTGTGTGTGTGTGTGTGTGTGTGTGTGTGTGCGTGTGCGTGCGTGTGTGTGTGTGTGGGGTGTGTGTATGTATGTTTATGTTTATGTTTATGTATATGTATGTGTATATGCATGTATGTATGCATGTGCGTGATGTATGTGTGTGTATATATATATATCATCATCATCATCATCATCATCATTATCATTATTGTTACCGTTACGAACATTACAAATAATGTTGTAATCTTTGTTAACGTGAGGCCTTTTTTCCGGCGCCAAGAGGTGTAGTACTATAGTTTCCTATGACTCCGCCCCTATTTATGGGGGCGGAGTCATGTATAAGCAACTTCATAGAGCTGATGAGCGCGCGGAGCACCTCTGCCCGTTTTAAAACTGGAAGAAAATGGGAAGTTCGAATTTGATGCTACACTGTATGGTGCAATATTAGTAACGTTGATGATGTTAATGAGGATATTATTGCACTAAGTACTGGTTTAAAAGTATTTACGTGTGCGCGCGCGTGTATGTGTGCATATATGTATATATATTATATATATACATACAGAAATGTGTACATACATACATACCTATATATACACACACACACACACACACACACACACACACACACACACACACACACACACACACACACACACACACACATCATATATATATATATATATATATATATATATATATATATATATATATTTAAACACATGTATACACATGCATATATATATATATATATATATATATATATATATATATATATATATATATATATACATATATATACATATACATATATATGCATTTATGTATGTATATGTATATATATACATATATATGCAGAAATACAATATTAAAAATATACACTACTACCATATACAACAATATTGAGTTTAAGGTAATGCTTTCGTATTAATAGGGCTACGGCTAAGAAGAGCGAGGTTCAGGTTTATCTTTCGTATGTGTACACTTTTATGCGACATGTCATGTAAGGCTTGTTACTGTTTTTCTTATATCATTTATGCTTTAATCTTGGCCAATATTCAGGCCTCCAAAAGTGTTCCATGACGAATAATATACGGGGAAGTATCTCGTTTTATTTACAGAATGTGTTCGAATGGTCAAAAGAATATTATGAAAATTTATATTAGGTTTTACATAATCATTTTACTTATTATGTATAATTGAATATGCACATGTAAACTTATATATCCTTTTGAATGTAGTTGATATCAATCAATAAATAGTGTCATTTTCAAAATATTTAAAGAAGTGTGACCTTCGAAACCATTGTCGACGGACGAATTAGTAACTATGATGGGAGGCGCTTAGGGCCCGCGCATTTTCAACTGATTTCGATAGTTTTCCGTCGTTTGATTTGTATTTTGAAGATGTTGATAACTAACAACTTGTATTTATTGTTATTTCCTAATGTTACATCAGTAAACCAGTGATTTATTAATTGATACAATTCAAAAACAAAATCAGATTCGTCAACTCGAGTACAATTCCTAGGAATGGGGGTGGAGCCGCACCTGTAGCACAGCGTAGAAGCATCGGCAGCGTTGCTGTCGTGATCGGCCCGGAGAAGTGTCGCAAATGAAAAAAGCGACACCCTCTAGTGTAGTTAGACAGTTTCTTGGCACAGGAAAAAGGCCTATGGTATTACTATAATCACTATCATTCTTCTTGTCATCAATACCACAACCATCATTATTACTATCATCATTATCATTAGTATCGGTGTAAGAATACCCTATAGTTTGGGTCACAAGGGGGACGAATATACGTTTCATTATCTGTGCGTGGACTTATGATAACAGGGTTTACTGTACTGAACGAACGCGTTGAGCAACACATGCGTGCACGGGACATACCGCAAGGAGAGAATGCTGTTAAGTACACATAGCAACACCAGGTCTTATTCCCTTCCCCCGCTCTATCCATCCACGCGCCCCGCAAAGCACCAAAGTAGAGCTTGGTGTCCTTGATGCTGAATCTCGTGCTGTTCGTCGAATGCCTTGCCGTTCCTTCTAACCGTTGTAGGCGTAGGAAAAGGGGTGGGACAGGGCCCACCGCTCCTCCAGTCTAGAATGGAGGGGGCGGGATGCAATTTCTGCCTCCCCCCACTCCTCAACTTTCGAGGACATTCCCTGTGAATACACGTACTGTGCAATTCCTCCTAGTTGTTAAGAACACTGACCCCCTGCACCTGAGAGGGCAGCTACAACTGAGTAATTACCGTTATGTCCAGTATTATCTAAATAAAAATGCCTGACATTTTAGTGCAGACATTAATGAGTTTATCTCTTTATAACAGCTAAAATCCAGAAGTTTCCGGGGCTTAGCCCCCTCGTCCCACACCGGAGCGCTGGCGGGGTCCGGGGGGGGGGGGCTACTATCCCCCGCACTTTCAAACATTAATGAGTTTATCTCTTTATAACAGCTAAAATCCAGAAGTTTCCGGGGCTTAGCCCCCTCGTCCCACACTTTCCTACTACTATGATTTTACACAAGGCAAGTGCATGTTTACGTACATGTACGAGAATGTGAAAACTTTGGTAGATAAAGTTCTGTATATATTTGACACAAAAACAATGATGGAGGATTGTGGCCTCATATTTGGAATGTTAGATTTTTTACTCGATGAAAATTCCTTAAAGCATTAACGAAAACCTCCTATAATGTTTTTCGTGCAACAAATTACTCTTTGCCTCAATAAAAGCACGCTTTCATGGCCAAAAGCATTTTTGCAATTTTGCGCGTCATACGGGTCAGGGATGTCGGTCAAAAAAGCATATATTCCACTACTGTTCCGGTATGACATCATTTTTCAGGTTTTGTCCGAAAAAAAAACATTGCAAGCTGGAAGGGGGGGGGGGATTACATCACACAGTTGACAGTAATGGCAGTAGTGGTAGTATTAATAATAGTACTAGTCATCTTAATTATCATCATCATCGTCATCACATACTTCGGGAAATTCACGGAAATGGTGTCAATGCGCGGATTATAGAGCACCAAACTTTGTTTTTAATTCGATTAAATTCCCTCTTTCCTAACCCTTCGACTTCTCTTATCACTCGTTATCATTCTACCAGTTACCACAGTACTCCTGTTAACATTTCGTAAGGCTGTCGATTGCTATGTCGTCGAGATAAGGCTTTTTAGTACTGCTAGCAAATAAGTTTTACGAAAGGGACTGTATAGGGGGCGTCATTTTCTTTTTTTTTTGGGGGGGGGGGGCAAGTGCGGGTAGGCGAGCGAAGCGATTTTATCTATTTTTTATCTTTTATTTTTTTTGAAAAAATAGCCATTTTCGGGGCAATTTCAACCTATAACCGGACATATGTGTGTAATTTAATGAACGAAAAGTTAAAAATTGTGGTCCTTGGGGGAGGTCACTCAAGGTATTAAGGGGGGCAGTCATTTCATTTTTTCTTGGGGGGGGGGGGGGTGATGGCAAGCGAAGCGAGCACAGGCAGTTTCTGGGCGGTGCGAGCCCCCCCCTGATTTTTTTTTCTTTTTTTTTAAGCTAAGCTACCCTGGGAGCATTTCTAAGCTACGACCAGAGCTATAAAGGTGTAATTAAGGAAAAAAAAATCGTGGGTGTGGGCTTGGGGGCGGGATGTTGGGGGAGGGCAAGCCAGAGCTTGAGAAGGGCATCTGTCCCAGCCTCCCCCAGCTGCCCCCTGTACCATATCCTTACTAATATATATATGATTTCAAATTAGGTGTTCGTTCAGGGGGAGGGGGGGCAGCAAATATGTCACTCGTATAAATGGCACCGAAAAAAGCCTTCATCGGTAAAAATGCCATTATGAAAATGAACTACAATTGTACAAACCACAAGCATTCAGTCAGACAAATGGTTTAGCCCGACAAGGAAGTACATTCCGGACACCACTCCCTAAGAACTGGCCGATGCCTTTATTACCAGCAACAAAATTGAATCCGCAAACGAATCTGCAGAATCTTGATGAACGTTTCGTCCTCATCTTCTTCGGCTCCCTATGTTGTTTTTCCTGGAGGATAGCGGCGAGGATAGCGGTCTCCGCGGATTCCTGTTGCAGCTGGAAGGGCGGATAAGTACTCTCGCATTTGTCTCCAAACTGGGGAATGTGAAGTAATTCAGGGATGATCAAGGACAGTGGTTTTCTGGGGACTTTCTTGCGATTTCCGAGAGCTTTCACTATGTAGACACACACACATACACACAGTCTTGTCATGTCTCGATCTTGCCTCGCATCATTATTGAGGACAAAATTTACCAGGATTCAAAGCGACAATTTTAGCGGTATCATTTTGCCGACGACGTCATTAACAGTGATATTTATTTAGAGGCATTTTTAGTAATGACATTTTTTTCCTACATCCGTTCGTTTGACGCGTCTTTCTGCCAGCCTTTTTTTTTCTTTACTTGTTTGTCCATGCGTGTATGAATGTGTTTGTTCTGAATGTCTGACTT